GGCTCACTGCAACCTCCGTTTCCTGGGTTCAAGTAATTCTCGTGCCTCAGCCTCCCAAGTAGCTGGATTACAGGCACCCACCACCATGCCTGATAATTTTTTGTATTTTTAGTAGAGTTGGGGTTTCACCACGATGCCCAGACTGGCCTTGAATTCCTGACCTCAAGTGATCCACCTGCTTCAGCCTCCCAAAGTGCTGTGATTACAGGCGTGAGCCACTGTGCCCAGTCCATTTTTTTTCCCCCTTTGGGACAGGCTCTTGTTCTGTCTTGCAGGCTGGAGCGCAGTGGTGCAATCACAGTTTACTACAGCCTCCACCTCCTGGGCTCAAGCAATCCTCCCACCTCAGCCTCCCGAGTGAGTAGCTAGGATATAGGCCACCACAACTGACTAATTTTCTTTTTTCTTTGTAGACACAGGGTCTCCCTATGTTGCCCAGGCTGGGCTCAAGCGATTCTCCTGCCTCTGCCTGCCAAAGTGTTGGGATTACAGGCATGATTCACTGTGCCCACTAGTCAATCTAATAGCTATGTAGTGGTATTCAATGTGGTTTAAATTTCCATTTCCCTAATGCGTGTGATGGTAAGCATCTTTACATGTGCTTATCAGCCATATATTTTCTTGGGTGAAATCTGTGTTCAAATCTTTCAGTCATTTTTTAAAAGGGTTATATTCTCATTGAGTTTTGAGTTTTAATATTCCATACACAAATCCTTATATCAAATAGATAACTTGCAAATATTTTCTCCCACTCTGTAGCTTATTTCCAAATATTTGGAGTGTTTCTAGATGTCTTTCAGTGTTGATTTCTAATTTAATCCTATTGTGGTGAGAGAACATATTTTGTCTGATTTGAGCCCTTGCAAATTTATTAAGATATTTTGTGACTCACAATATGGTCTATTTCAGCAAATGCTCTGTGTACATTTGAAAAGAATGTGTAATCTGCTGTTGTTGGGTGGGGTTAGTCGAACTGTAGCATTGTTCAATCTTCTAAATCCTTACTGATTTTTAGTCTACTTGTTCTGAGAGGGGTTGAAACAATTCTGACTATATTTGTGGGTTTTCTATTTTCCCCTGCAATTGTATCTTTTTTTTTCTTCATGTATGTTGATGCTCTGTTATCACATGCTTAAACACTTAGAATTGCTATGTCCGCTCATGAAATGGCCTCTCTGTCATAATGAAACAACCCTCTTTCATATGCTTGGTACTACTCTGCTCCAGTTCTACTTGGATATTGATACACCACTCCAACTTTCTTTTGATCAGTATTAACACTTTTCCATCTTCTTACCTTTAACCTACTTATGTCTTTATATTTAAAATGGGTTTCTTGTTGACAATAATAGCTCTTGCATTTTTAGCCAATCTGACATTCTTTGCACTTTAATTAGTGAATTGAGAACATTTATATCTAGTGTGAGTATCGATATGGTTGAGTTTAAATCTACTATTTTGTTATTCTTTTTCTTATTGTCCTATCTGTTCTTTGTCCCTTTCCCCCTTTTCTGCTTTCTTTGGATTATTACTATTATTTTTGAGACAAAGTCTTGCTCTGTTGCCAGGCTGAAGTGCAGTGGTGCGGTCTCGGCTCACTGCGACCTCTGCCTCGTGGGTTCAAGCGATCCTCCTGCCTCAGCCTCCCAAGTAGCTGGGACTACAGGTGTGTGCCAAGATGCCCAGCTAATTTTTTGTATTTTTAGGAGAGACAGGGCTTCACCATGTTGGACAGGATGGTATTGATCTCTTGACCTGGTGATCCAGCTGCCTCGGCCTCCCAAAGTGCTGGGATTACAGGCATGAGCCGCCACACCCAGCCTGGATTATTTTTAATGATTTCATTTTCTCTACTTTGTTAACTATAGCAAAGTTACAGTTATTGACTATAACTGTTGAATTATTGAAATGGTTACCTTATGTTTACAGCACAGTCCTGTGTTGCTTAAACCTGCACAGCATGTTATTATCCTGAATACTGTAGGTGACTGTAACAGAATGGTATTTACACATCTAAACATACACTAGAAAGGGTACAGCAAAAAATACAGTATGATAATCTGATGGAACTGCTGTTGTATATACGGTTTGTTTTTAACCAAAACGTCATTGTGCAGTGCATGGCTGTACACACGTTTCACTTCGCACAGTCTACCTTCACATGTAATTATACTATTGCATCACATACAGTTCCACTACTTCACATAGAGTCTAAGAATACTTCTATTTCTCTCCCCTTAGACTTTGTGTTATTGTTGCCATATATTTTGCTTCTATATATGTTATAGATGCTATACTACATTTCTGTTATTCTTGCTTTATACAGTAATTACTGTATACAGTAATATCTTTTAAGATAAACAGTAAGAACAAGTCTTTCTATCCATGTGGTTACTATTTTTGGCGTTCTTCATTCCTTTGAGTAGATTCAGATTTCTAACTGGTATCATTTTCTTTTTGCCAGCAGGACTTTCTGTAACATTTTTTATACTTCAGGTTAGCTAGTGATGAATTTTCTCAGCTTTTACTTGTCTAAAATAGTCTTCATTTCAGCTTTGTTTTTGAAAGATATTTTAACTAGGTAAAGAATTCTAGGCTGTGAATTTTCTTTCACTGCTTTAAAAATATTGACCCACCATCTTCTAGTTTGTGTTGTTTCCAACAAGAAATCAGCAGCCAATTTATCTTTGTTCCTGTCTCCATAATGTGTCATTTATCCCGTTTTTAAAATGATTTTCTCATTTTTGAATGTATGAGTTTATAGTTTCTATCAAATTTGAAAATGTTTTTCCATTATTTCTTCAAATATTTTTCAGTTCCTTGTTTCCACTCCTGTGGGACTCTAGTTTTATATATTTTTGGCTACTTAAAATGATCCCAAAGCTCTATGTTGCTCGGTGTATTCTTTTCAGCCTTTTTCTGTTTCATTTCAGATAGTTTCTACTGCATGTCTTTAAGTTAACTCGACTTTTCTTTTGCAATGTCTAATCTGCCATTAATCAAGAGTACTTTTAGCATTTCAGGCACTGCAGTTTTCATCTCTTCAGTTTGATTTATGTCTTTGTTACATCTTCTATGTTTCTCTTTCATAGGTTAAATCTTTCTTCTAGCTTCTTAAACATATAAACTCCAGTCACAACAACTATTTTAATGACCATATCTATGAATTCTATCATCTGTATAATGGGATAGTTTTGATGGACTTTTCTCATTTTGGTATGAGAATGCGGGTGATATTTTCTTGCATCTTTGCATGCCTGCTAATTTTGGATTAGCTGTCTGGCAAGACCCTTCTTAATATTCTAACCAGTGCCCCTGATTTGGGAGGTTTTCACTCTAACTGTTGGAAACAGGCACCTCTTTTTAGCTACAGTGTGGGAGGCAGGCAGTGTTCCCCTGATTCTTTTGGGTGATCCTTTCCCTGGTGCTGGGTACTTTTCCCACACACATGCTTGGATCAGTATGCATTTTCATACTCAAGGAGGACTCAGCACATCTGCAAAGCTCTCGCTCCCTATGCAGTTCTCTCCTCCCCAGTCCTCCACCTCTGCAAACCAGCTGCCTTCGTTTCCCTAGATGTATCCCAGCTCTATGTCTTCAACTAAAGGAGAGAGTTGAACTCTTTCTCCTGGGTTCCTTCTCCCTACACAGCAGCCCAGAAACTTTTTCTAGATAAGGACAATTATAGGACTCGCTTTGTTCCCAATTTTTCAGGGACCACTGTTTTTTGCTGCCTGGTGTCCAATGCCTTGAGTGATGTATTTTTCATACACTTTGTCCAGTTTTTAACTTGTTTCAAGTGGGAGGGTAAATCTAGACCCTGTCACTCTAGCTTCTCTAGAATGTAGTATGCTTTTAACAAAACATTATGTATCAGTGGGTGAGATAATATTCTGTCCTTTTTTTTTTTGGAGACAGAGTATTACTCTGTCACCCAGGCTGGAGTGCGGAGGCTCAATTGCAATCTCCATCTCCTGGGTTCAAGCAATCCTCCTGCCTCTGTCTCCTGAGAAGCCGGGATTACAGGCATGCGCTGCCATGCCCAGCTAATTTTTGTATTTTTGGTAGAAGTGGGGTTTCGCCATGTTGCTCATGCTCGTGTCGAATTCCTGGGCTCATGTGATCTGCTGCCTCAGCCTCCCGAAGTTGTGGGATTACATGCATGAACCACCATGCCCGGCCATATTGTGTACTTTTAACATTATGTATCATAGTATTACCTTATAAATGTAAGAGTGAATTTTATAGGCTATGGAGATTTTTTAGGTTATTATTCAACTCTATCTAACTGAAGAGTAATGTTATAGGAGGCATTATATGATTACATATAATGACAGAATTTGATTTTCAGCTAAGTAGTCCAAGCATAAAATTAATAAAGTCCAATGACACAGTACAATGAGCTTAAAATGAAATTGCTTTCTTAAACCGAGAGCCAGCCTTCCTTTTTGCCCGACATCTTAGCGTGGTTGTAGTGAAGCTCTCCGAGCTTCGCAGTGCCACCCAAGGACGACAAGAAGAAGACAGACACCGGAAAGTCGGCCAAGAAAGACAAAGACCCAGTGAACAAATCCGGGGACAAGGCCAAAAAGAAGAAGTGGTCCAAACGCAAAGTTCAGGACAAGCTCAATGACTTAGTCTTGTCTGACAAAGCTACCTATGACAAACCCTGTAAGGAAGTTCCCAACTATAAACTTATAACTCCAGCTGTGGTCTCTGAGAGACTGAAGATTCGAGGCTGCCTTGCCAGGGCAGCCCTTCAGGAGCTCCTTAGTAAAAGACTTATCAAACTGGTTTCAAAGCACAGAGCTCAAGTAATTTACACCAGAAATACCAAGGGTGGAGATGCTCCAGCTGCTGGTGAAGGCGCATGAATAGGTCCAACCAACTGTACATTTGGAAAAATAAAACTTTATTAAATCAAA